TGGCTGCCGGCCGCCATCTTGGCTGACAGTTAATTTGCATAAGGATATGCTGATTAGCCAATGGGAAGGGTAGCAGTCGTACGCTAATTACCATGTTTCTCTTTTATTAGTGTAGATATATATGTATAATGCTAGATTTATAGAAACATTCCAACTATTATACAGAGAATTCTTGTCTACCCCTCACCAGTTTTCTGTTAAAACTAAGATGTCTGCATATTATTAACTAAGCTGCAAATTTTATTCAGATTTCACCAATTTTTTGTTATAATGCACTTTGATGTCCCTGGATCCAATTTAGGATACCACACTGCATTTAACATCTAGTAATTTTGTCAGAAAATATAGTTAAACAAAAATACCAACCAAAATTGGATTCTGTTTGGATTCATTCTAAGAATTAGAATTTACTACCAAATTTACTTTGCATTTGTAGAAATTTAACTTTAACCAGTTTTTTTTTATGCTTCCAACTATGCTTAGATAACTACAATAGATGGTTAGCGAGGCTTCCTTAAAATACGCAATAGAATTTGTGATCAGGATCTGTGGATTAAAAAAGTAAGTTTGATGTCTCTATAATCAGTGGAACTGTGTGTAATATGCATATTGTTCCTTTGAGCTACAAGTTAAATAAACGAATAAAGCAAGACAAGTTTTTTTTTTTTCCAAATATATTTTATTGTTTTTTTTACAGAGCGGAAGGGAGAGGATAGAGAGTTAGAAACATCGATGAGAGAGAAACATCGATCAGCTGCCTCCTGTGAGTTATAGAAAAGTTCTTCAATCCATTTTGTTAACGTGGGATTTATACCACTGAGTTTAAACCCCTATGTATGTGGCACAATTATGGTATTTGTATATTTCACAGTAGTTTTTTTTTTTTTTTTTTTCAAGACAAGTTTTGATACAGTTTGGAAAGCACAGATGAAGCACTGTCAGATGTTAACTACTCTCTGAATGCCGCTTGTTGCACAAATATATACTTTCAAACAGATATGCAGCACTGTAGTAAAAAAAAGATTTTCATTCATTTTAGGAGTATTCTATTTCACCAATATCACTTTTATAATGTTAAAAAATGAGCCCCAATGGATATGTAGCTTATATATCGGGGGTAAGGCACCTTTCCATTATTTGGTTCAATAAGTAACTCTCTTAATATCTAGGAGAATTAACATTTTCCAAGAAGCCAAATTTACTCTTTTCTTCAAAAATTTTGACTGAACTGTGGCAGTTAGCTAGTGTCACAAAATTGCTGTGTGGCACACAACACTGCACATTTATTTCTCAGGTGCCTGAAGGCTTCGGCTAGGTTGGCCAACATGTGATCTTGACTGGGCTTACTCATATGTCTGGGGATTGGGCTTGGAGGCAGCTGGTTTAGGCTGG